GGTTAGCCCTATGGCCCGGTAGTTAAGGGAGCTGGATTCTACATGGCCAACCGAGTGGTTCAAGTCCTGACCCTGGAGGCTCAAAAAGATGCCAGAAAATAAAATAGTGCATAGAAGCCAGGCATGTGTGCATACATATCCAAAATCCTGACAGGCTGGAGAAATGGAAAAGAATGCATTGTAGGACTATGCCCTTCAGTGAGTGTTTTCTCTTTATCTCTCTCTCTCTCTCTGTGTCTCTCGCTGGCAAGTGCACATGTACTCTGACAAGTTTAAAAAAAAAAAAAAGATTTATCTCTGAATAAGGTGAAGCCATGGGCAGTTCTCTGTTTTTCTATTGTGGCTGGCTAATCTAGAAGCACTGCATTCGAAAGTGAATTCGAAGTATTACGAGTTGTTTCCACAACAGGTAAGAGTCAAGGCCAAACTGAAAGCGGTATCTTTTTGAAAGCACACTCGAAATGCTGAATGAAATAGCCACAGACAGAAATCCATACACCATAGAAACTTAAACACTGGAGTAGGGGACCAGCCAGAGGGTAGGCTCTATCGAGCAAAAGTTTACAAGACAGGAGAAAGCTGCAGAAAGAGGAGGCAGTTTTCAGCCAGAGAAGGGACTGCTGCATCACACGGGAAACCCAAACCAGGAATACGAGATGCCATTTTCACCTCACAGAAGTTGAGAGACACTGAGACTCCTGGACACTGGGAAGGACGCGGTGGGGAGCAGAAGGATAACAGAAACGAAACCGCAGACGGACAGACGCAATGGCTAGTGTTAGAAGGTGGTGTGGTGGTTAAGATGGCTGGACTCCCAAGTGCCTGACTTGCAGTTTGAGGCCCAGGCCTGGCAGCTTGCTTTCTCACTCTTTCTTTCTCTCTGGTCAATTTCAAAATGACAATGAATAAAAAAATTCTTAAAAAAAAAAAAAAATACAGCAGGAAGAATGTAGTTAACAACAAGTTACTGTGTATGTTACAGATGGTTGAGATGGTAGGGACCCCAATTATCCTGACTTAATTGTTACATATTGTATTCCTATGCTTCAAAAAATCACTTATAACAACTGTCCAGTTAACTTAAAACATTTCATTTTAAAAGCATGCATCTTCTCTCTCTCTTTTTTTTTTTAATAATTTCTTTCTTCTATGTGCAAGAGAGAGAGCAAGCAAGCAAGCACTCCCAAAGGATCCTAACACCCTGATCCTCCCCCAGCTTCAACCAGCAGACCACAGCATGCACAGGCCCAGAGCACTTGGGGAGGCCTCCAGATGTGAACTCAGAACCTTCCCGCATGCAGCATCATGTTTTACCACCACACTACCATCTGCCCCCCATGCCATTTTCTAACACAACTTACTCTTTAGAGAGAGAACCGACCACCGCAGCAGTGCTTAGTAAACTTCCCCGTTCCCTATTCTGCTGATGAAAAAACAACTCAAGACTAGGAGCAGGGGGGTCCTGGAAGCACACAACTGAAATGTCACTTCTCCCAGGATCGCAAGGGTCGCCTAACCATGCCCAACCACCTCACAGCAGCCTCGTTACACGAGGCGGCCACTGCCCACCACGATCATTCCTCACAGCCTTCAAGTGGCTCAGCTCTGAGAAGCTCCTGACTGGCAGAGCACCCACTGCCTCTCCTGCCCACAGACCGGGCCAGGGTCCGGGCTTGCTCACACACTGCTGTGAGTTTCGAGTGGATCCTCAAGGACGGGGCCATATGTCTCAGTTCCTAGTCCATGACCCCATCTGGAAACAGCTGTGCAAACCAGAGGCTCCTGACACACAAATGAAAGGATGAAGTCTCTGCTTCCACGATGTCAGCCCCAGAATAGAAATACAATAAACTTCATGTCTCCAGGCTGAATATTTGTCTTGGGGGTAGTGGGGGAAAGACAAGGACTTCTAAGGAAGAGAAAGTTATAGAAGAAGAGTACAAGCTGCTCCATTATTAATTAGGTCATCGGCAAAGTCATGCCATATTTTTTCCATGCTTTTTTCTATGCAAAAATGTGTCACGACTTTCCCAATGACCCAATATGTTTATTAAATAAGAGAGAGGTCTTCAAAAAGTTAATAGAAAATGTGGTATTGGGGGCCAGCAGGTGGCGTGGTGGTTGAAGGCACTGGACTCCCACATGGCCAACCACAGTTGGAGTCTCGGATCTGGCGGCTTACTTTCTCACTTTCCCTCTCTCTCACTCATTCTGTCCTTCTCTGGTCAAATTAAAATGAATAAATAAATAAAGTGAAATAAATTTTAAAAAATAGTAATTCTTAAAAAAAAAAATGTGCTATTAAAAAAAATAACTGGGCCGCAGGTGGCATGGTGGTTAAGGGCACTGGACTCCCACAGTCCACTTAAACTGCAATTCGAGTCCCGAAACTGGTGGCTTGCTTTCTCACTTTATCTCTCTCTCTCTCTCGTTCACTCTCGCTTTCTCACTTTCTCTCTCTCTCTCTCGCTCACTCTCGCTCTCCCTCTCTTCCTCTCTTGTCAAATTAAAATAAAAATAAAGTAAAATTAAATAATTCTTGAAAAAAATTACTATGCATGGATTGCAAAATGTTCTGCACCTAAAATAGCTCATACTTTCATTCCATGTTTCCACAAATTATCTGAAATCCCCTCGTACTTGCATTCTCCATACCCTCTACAGTACATCCAGGTGGCCACATTCGCTATGGGGAATCAGCAAGGATGGAGGTAAAGTGTCTCAGAGCGCCTGGGACCAAACAGCCTAAACTGCAGCCTTGGTCTCCGCATCTGTGAAATGGGATAACAATGCCTAACTCAACCCCGGACCGGGTCGCATACATGAAATGCAGACCTGGTAGCCAGGAGCAAGTGGAAACTATTAGTCAGGTGTGTCCCATGACAGGTGATGCCATGAGTATCACATGGGCTTTCTTGGATGATGAAAGCCAAGAGCAGTCTTCTGACCAGCTCCTCCCACAGACAGCCCAGAGCACACCCAGGGCTGGAGCTGCAGGAGGGACTGAGGCCCAGGGGCTAGGCTGGCGGAAGTCGTTACTAGCTGTAGTGTCTAGAGGACGCCCGGCTCTGTCCACCTTGCTCTGGTGTGGTCCCCCCAGCCATGAGAATTCTTGGTAGAGGCTTCAAGTGTGTATATTCCTCCTGGTCAAGAGCACTAAGGGGGACGTAAAATGATGACCGTGACCTTCAGCAAGTCACTTCTCTGCCTTAGTTGCCCCTTTACCAAGTGGAGTGGCCCGTTCTATGACCTCTGAGTCTTCTGAGCTTCCGCTGGACCGGCATGCTTACTGCACTGGTTCTAATTCCGCCTGTGAGGTCTGAGGGATCCCTTCAAATGTGTTCCAATTCCTTCCAAAGCCACTTGGCAGTGCTTTGGCCCAGCTCGCAGGAGCAGGGAGGATTCTGAGGAGATTTCAGTTTTCTGTGTTTTGTTCAGCGCGCAGCTGACTCCACCCGGGGCTGCCCACTCCATCTCTCCTTTTCCACCCTCAAAGTCACCGAGTGAGGTCTCGAGTGAGGGTGCTGGGGCAATCACTGGTTTGCCGTGTTTCAGCTCAGATGGCTTCCAGACCATCCCGTGTGTATGCCCAGGGAGGACAAATAAACATTTCAGAAAAGCAATACGAATTAAATCATTTTCTCAACAAAACCCACCCGCCTCACGCTTCTCCATAAATCATGCCTCTTAGTTCTATGCTAATGAAGTCACTAAACTGCATTTCTTTATGAAAACAACCCTTCCTCCTTTTATGCCCTGACACTTCAGAATCAAAATATTTTCACACTCCATTGTACTAATAATGCCTTTGCAGAAGTAATGTCAGCCTCTATTTCCCTGGAAAGATCCATGGCCAGGGCGCTTTCCAAGAGCTTTTCTTTGACTGTTCTTTGTGTCCTGGTGCACTGGGGACACCGCCAGTCGGCCAGCATCTGGGGGACGCCGGGCTACTCGCGGTAATGCAATCCTGCTCTGAAGCACACACGCAGAAGGTTACCCTTAGCCC